TGTGTGTGTGTGTGTGTGTGTGTGTGTGTGTGTGTGTGTGTGTGTCTGGTCCAGAGTGTTACATCCTCTTATGTTGTGTGTTGGGTTGTGTTTACAGGTTTTTTTTTCTTCGGCAGCACAGTCACAGCTACAACAGGACTAAATGAATCTGGAACTTGTCATTAGTGAGGATGCAAGGCACTAAAGTGTTCCTCATGTTAGAGTGCATGTGCATGTAGACTGGGTCACCACAACGGTACTCTAGTGACTCGAGCGTTACGTGAAAGCACTTTCTTCACATGAACATATATACAATAAAATAGAAAGGGGGGGGGGCAGGGTAGTTATAGATAGAAGAGCTTAATAAACCCCAGGATTTACTCCTGTGTGGTGAGTAAAATACCAATAACAACAACCCTGCAATTGCACTTTTTATATTCCTTTAACTACATGTTGTTTAACAACCTTTAATAATAATTACAGTGAAACAACATCAAAATCTGATGGCTGAATACAGGTCCATAAAGAACATTTGTTTGTTTTATTAAATAACGCATACAAAAACAGACCACAGGAAGAGAACCCCAGACACTTGTGATTTGAGAGGTGACGGCTAAATGTTACGAGCGGAGATATTTAATGTGGCGACCTGTTTAATCTAGAGATGTGCATGATCATTGTAAACACCTGGGTGGAGTGGGGAGCCACCCCTGAGTCAGAAAATTACAAATATTACTATTAATAAACCAAAACTCTATAATTACATATGAGCAGACTCTGAACTGCTCACATCGCAAAGCTGAACTCTAAATGAAGTGGTTCCATGTGTCAACTTAAGATTCTCACTAAGGTTTCATTCCTGTGTAAATTAAAAATAACGTAGACACCCAAACACCCACTACCCAGACTGTGATCTACAGCAGCATCACCTCCTCAGTTTTCAGCTTCAAGTGGTGGTCAACACCAGGACAACGCTTTTTAATGTGGCAGACCCACTGGCTTACATGTCAGACGTGAAGAATAAATCAGTATGATAATAAATCTATATGATAAGAGACAACTCAAATCACGACACCAGACTCACAGGGACATAAATATGCTAAACATGGAATCATAACCCAGTGAAGAAATTTCTATGTACAAAGTTTAAATGTGTTTGGGGAATAAGGCCACAGTTACAAGGGACAGTTCATCTACTCTTTGCCATTATTGCGTTTTACTCAATAGGTAGCCAACTGGGATGTGTTCATACTCCGACCCTCTGCGTTACACTCCAGCCTAACGTACTATGTCTTTCTTCTCCTCGCTCCACTCGTCACTCTTTACTGCTCCATCTGGAACTAACCAACTGTCCCACTCGTATCTTCCACTTCCTGTACGCTCACATTCTCCCCTCACTCTCTGAGATGACATAACCTACCACCCCAAGTCACTCAACCAGGTCAATGTTTAGTCAGGTGTGTGTGTGTTGTGATGCAAACTGTCCTCAGTGAAGACAGAACCAGTAAGGATGTCCACCAGAATCCCTCCTCTTCAAAAAGGAATCATGACATTACAGCGTCTGCTCGCAGAAAGACATCTTTGGCTGCTGTCGGTTGTGCCTTTGGGTTGTTACATCACCAGACACAACCAACTCACTCCTCACAGCAAATTTCCACAGCTAATGGCAGGCTAAGTGTGAGACTCATGTGCTGTGGGTGTGTATTGCACTCTCCCTCCAATAACAGATTTTTGTTCTGCCTGAGAGGACACAGGTCGACTCATAACACAAAATGATAAAAGAAATAAAAAATTAAAAAAGCACATCCAGCTGACCAGCTAAGCGAGCTAGTGGTTCTCAATCAACGACTGTCTGCGCTCTCGGCCCTGTGTGGCCCTGCAGTCTCTGCCTGGACCAGGGCTCTGACTGGGCTACGTCGGCCTAAGGTTGGACCCTCCATGGCTGACTGTTTTCGGGGGTGCTGGTGTGGTTCCCATGTGGTAGCCTTGGTGCATTGTGGTCACTGAGGCTGTCGTAGGCGGCTGGTACTGTGTTAGCGGCTGCGCAGGATTAAGCATGCTGACCTGGCATGTGCCTGTGGGTCCTGCCCACTGGGGAGCACTGTACTGGGCCGAGGAATATCCGAACCCCGGAGCAACTGGGCCCAGGGAACCTTTGCGGGGCCCCAGAGCGACAGAGGGATTGGCTGGGGTGGGGAGGTGGGTAGTGGTGGTGGATGTGGCGTTAGAAGGCGTGGGAAGCGAGGGGCAGAGGTAACCTGGAGCTGAGAATTTACGACCCATGTTGGCTGGGGGAATTATCTGTTATAGAGAAGAAGAAAAATAATCTTACTACTGAAAACACTAAATTATTATATAAAGTAAGTGGAAAACAAAATCATAAAAACATGAAATGCTAAGGATAATTATGAATTAAAGAAAGAAGCGAATGCTTACATCATGTGCCTGTGCAGCCTGTGCTCCAGTTTTAGGTCCTCTCTTGCAGTGGGAGAGGCTGATGGCGTCTCTGGCCCAGTTATCCACCAGTTGGTGCAGGTCATCGGTGAAGGTGCCTTTACCCTTCTGGGTTTGAGAAGTAGAAGGAGTGGGTCCAGTTGCCTGGGTCAGCAAAGGTGAAAGGTTCTGACAGTGGCCTGAACCGTTTATGGAGCTGGTCCCAGTCGATCCTGGCAAACAAGAAGAGAGGTGAGATGTGAGTGAGGAAATTATTTTAGGAAATCAATTCAACAAGTCACTGAGATGAGATAAACTCTTTGCACAAACCTGTGGAGTAGCTACTGAGGCTGGGCATGGACGGAGAGGATCGGAGCTGCTGTATGGACGACCTGCCAACTGCTTGTGATGCCTCTGTTGTCATTTCTGAAACCCCTGGTGCAGAGGGAGTACTTTGCTTTTGAGGGGATCCTGGGGGAGTTTCAGATATACACATGAACCATTTTAACAACTTAGATATTTGGACAAGCATAAACATAGAACACAAACTTAAGTACTGACCCTAAAGTTGATATCAAATTTGTCTTGAGAATCAAAAAACACAACAGCCTGTTCAGTGGACTTACCTGAGTGCATGGGACTGGGCTGTCCACTGCTGCGAGCTGATTTGTGGCTTTTGCTTTTCAGCCTACGTCGACCTCCAGTCATGGCCACAGGAGGGGAGAAGGCAGGAGGAGCATTTTTTCCCAGTCGCGTAAACAGAGCCTCAATCTCCTCTTTCTGGCGTGAATGTAAGGCCTGAATCTCGCTTATATGTCTGTGAGCAGGAGAAGAACAAAAAAAATGAATACTTCAGAGTTGTGAAGTAACATAAAATAATAGTGTAAAAAAGGGAGAAAATGTGATATACTTCTCTCTTAGATGGCCAATTTCTTTCTGCAAAGCCTCGTCCTCAGCCTCAGAGTCGTCATCATTGTCGCTACTGTAATGTGTATGTGCATTATGTGGGTCAGAGGTGGAAGATGAGGTTCCGTTCTTCCTAATGGAGCAGTGTGATGGGCTGGAGCCTGTAGCTGGAGTCACTGAGGGAAATAAAACACATGAGGTCACTGCAACACAGAAGGAATAAAAATGTACTATTGACGTCAATTTATGTTCTGTGTGCCGGATTAGGAAAAATATTTGCTTCCTCAGAATACACTGATCCAAGGATTGTCCTCTGATATGATGAAAACCAAATGTATTTTCATCTCAGTAGATAGATAGGTTCACTAAATTCTATCAAAGCTCTCATTAATAATTCCCACTGCAGCCTCTGCTAACAGAATTGTGTCAAAGCCAGTCTCTGTAACTAAGATTTAATGAATGTGCTGTGAACCTGGTACACACCTGTGACTGAAAATCTTCCCACTTTAGAGCCGGTGCTGGGTCCAGATGTGGCATTGCTGCTCGTGGACACTTGGAAGCGTCCAATGGTGGTGGGTGGACCAGCCCGACCAGCAGAGAGAGACGAGGCTCTGTTTATACCATCAGTTTCAATAGATTCTTTACACAGAGTGGATGACCGGTGGAGGGTATTTTCTGGACTTGAGGGGGAGGAAGAGGAAGAAGAGGAGGAGGAGGAGGTGGTAGAGGACGGCGTGAGGGAGGAAGAGGAAACAACGCTGGAGGGATCTGGAACAGATACCTGAGGAAGAGGAAGGAGGTCATTATTATAAAATGAGCCCAACAGTAAGTCAGAATTCACCCAAATAATCAGAAGTTGTGTGTGAAACTTACTTGGAAACGTCCCAGAGTGAAACCTGCTGCTGGAGGCTGTGCTCTGTTACCCCCCTGAACTGTCTCTGGGCTCAGAGCTCTCCTCAACTGTGCATCCAAATTACCCAGAGGTTGATGAGACTGTGGAGTCACACAAATAGGAAATGAGGAACAGGCTAAGTGGTTCAATAAGTAGTGCACTTGATATACTTAGAACTGTGTGCTCTAAAAACCCTGGGGCAGGGAGTGTTGCAGGGACAATGTAGATCTCACCTGATTTGGTCCAGGAAACGGTGGTATGATGTCAGAGGGAGGTGTAGCAGCTTGATCAAAACCAGTAGGTAAAGTCTAAAAAATACAAAGAGCAGAGTTAATCATTCATTATTGCAATAAACTGCACACTGGATTCATTATTGTATACGGCAGCTTTCACTAACCTGTGCCCTGGGCTTTGTTGGGGGGGTATGGGTATGTCCTCCTGGGGTCATACTCTGTCCTGGGGTGGTTGTAGGGCCAAGAACCCCTTGTACCCCAGAAGCCAGAGGAAGGTTTGATGGAGGCACCATGACGGTTCCAGGTGGAGGGGAAGCAGTCCCAGTGGGAGGAGAGGAGGTTCCTGTGTTCTGACTAGGATCCAATGACGTTGAGGCGGTGCTCTGGTCTTTAAAGAGGGACCGGAGCTTCTTATCCAGAGCTTGGATGTCATCTCTACCAGTGGCCTTTGACTGGAGATCAGCCCCCTCTCCCTCCACCGGCTGAGCTTGGACCTGATTCTGAGCAGTGGATGAGGAGGGCGGTGGTTGCTGTGGTGGATGGATGGATGAATTCATGGGCTGAGAAGATGCAACAGCACCATTAAAAGGCTGCTGCTCTGAAGCCGGGGCAGTACTAGTACTGGTAGATGGAACTCCAGCAACAGAAGAGACAGAATTACTATTCGGCTGAGGCCCAGGTACTGCGGGGACGGAGGTCTGCGCTGATGGAGGAGAAATGGTAGAGGATGAGGGAGGGATGTTGGGAGCTGGTGATGGAACTTGTGAGGAGGGTGTTTCATTAGAAGAATGAGGGGGTGGACTGGGATCATTGGTGACAGCAATGGGAGTTTGGGTCTGCGTGGATATAGGTGGAGGGGAAACCCTCCCAGTGGAGGGAGGCAGTGGGGATGTCACAGAAGAAGGGAGAGACACAGGAGGGAAAGTAGTGCTGGTGGTGGAAGCTACGGCTTCCGGAGGAGGAGCCAGGATATTGGTAGAACTCGGGCCGAGTCCAGCCTCAGTGGACGGGATGGTGGCTGGCTCTTGCTCAGAAGAAGGGGGGTCAATGGTGTTGCCTCTCACTATACGAGACTGCTTAATGTTACTGAAGGCCTGCTGGAGGGTCCCGGAGGGAGCAGACAGAGAAAGGCCCAGTGTCATAGGGAGAGCTAGAAAAAAAAAAGGAAGTTATTACTATATATGAAAACTTTACAAACGTAGAGAAATATGTAGGGACTGCTTGTGCAAACAGATGTGTATATGTGCTACAAAATTAATCCTTGGCCACTCGCTAATTTTAGATACGATAATAGACACAGACATCTTCTACATCTGATTTCCAAACTGAATAAAAACAAACAGTTTTCTCACCAGAGGCAGGTTCATCTCCAAATGATGTATTTGCAGAAGAAACTCCAAAGAACTGCTCTTTAAGACGAGACTCTGGCACCGGACTGACGATGAATCTTCGTCCTGCTGAATGAACTACCTGCGCTGTCGTACTGGGGGAAATACCTGACGGGAAGGTCAAAAAAGAAAAGTCAGATACGAGGCAGGAGGAATATCAATGAATGGACATTAAACACTGTATATTTGGTTAAAGGTTGTTTACCTGGCAGCATGGGAACAGACAACTCAGGCTTTTGTTGGAGGTCACACATCTGCAAAGAGACAAAATGTTACTGGTCTTATAGGTCGCAGATCAGCGTTGTCATGGAGGGTGAATAAGATGATGTGTAGTAAAGAATTACCTGTGGAAAAGCTTCCTTGATCCCTTCTCCTTTCTCATCAGCCATTTCTATGACTTCACGGACCTGCTCGATGAAAGACTCCCGCTCACACTCTAAGATGAACTCACTCTCAACCTGGAACAGAGAACAAAAATGATCAGCTACCAATGTACTGTGAGAATGAGCCACAGAATGGCTGCACACTTGTAATGGTCATTGTCAATGGTTGAGGCAGCTGATATTAAAAGAGGAAAAACAGTAGTGTGTTCATTTTACAGTGAATTGTCATCATCATCTGCCATTTCAATGGGATTTTCTGAATGGTATCCGTGCAGAACTATATAAATATATTATGAGCAAGTGCAGATTAATTCCAACAAACAGTAAATCTTTGTATAAATGTTTATTGATCAATCAAACCAGTACTACCATGATCTTTGCAATCTCCTCTGGATTATCACCATCAAGGTCAAATTTGAAGGTCACCATCTTCCTGTTGTGGGTTTCCAGCTGACACTCTGCAACTCTGTCACCCACGTTCGAGATCTGCAAAACAATAATTTAAATTAATGTAAATGTTCAGGTGACCGAGGGCTTCACTATAAAAACGATGAGCGTGATCAGTTCAGTTCCTTACACTGAGAACGTTCAGTTTAGCCTTTGCAATCTTCTCATGGCGGGAGCGGCTGCGCACGGATCGTCTCTGGTGACGCTTCATTGAGCGCCCCTCATGACGTCCTCCTGATGTAGAACTTCCATCATTGCCGTCACTAAGACCAGAAGCTGCATCTGACAGGCAGCTGTGAAAGACATGAATCCATGAGAGGGAGATCGGGCAGGTTGTGTGGTGCTCGTGAAACCTCCATTAAAAATAAAAAAAGACTTTCTCACCTTTCTACAGATGGTAGAATCAGAGCTGAAGATCCAGCTGGCAGCTCGGCTGGTGTTAACTGAGATACACACACAGAGGCCTGAAATGAAAAGACACATTCTCAAAATCAAGCCCAAGATTTCAAATCCCTTAGTTTTTGCATTAATATATTTTAAAAACTATTTAGGGGTTTAAAAGAGGAAACCAATGATTGCTTCTATGTGTGTTTTTCCTTCATTCAATGTCATTTTAATAATTATTTACAGCAAATGTAACGATTCAAACGAGTTCATCCACCAGATGGGGCTGTTACACCTGATGAAATGAGTCGTATCAGGATTCAAACTCCATTATTCATCTCTCAGAGAGTAAATATGAGGCCGAGAACATACAAAGAATGAAGGCACGTGTTTAAAATGAGGCCTGTTCATTGGTGCAGTATTTGTGTCACAGTACTGACTGTTTTTTGCCAGAAAGACATTAGGATGAGGTCAGATAAGAGTGTAAAGAGCCCCCAAGTACATACAGATGAAGTTGAGGTGGACGACCTTCAACCCAGAGACTGGAGTTTGAACCCATTTTTCATTTCTTATATTTGTTCGACTTGTAATTCTCCATCTAACTTTATTGTTATTTTCATTTTTTCTCGTACAATTTAAAAATGTTTAGGCACAAAAACAAGTCGGTTAAGTTGTTGAATTCTCACAGGATCTGTCACTCAATAACCAGACACAACATACTGCTCGCTCCCTGCTATTTGAATATTAGTGACACAGATTACTGCTCCTCTGTCACTTTCCAGTTCCTGCCTTATTGGTTATAATACTCTGATTGTATTGTAACTGGATATTGTAAATAGATTTTATGTATTACATGCACTCAGCTTGTATGCATAAAATCCTAATCATAAAAACAAATACTGTGCAATGCTCTCATCATTTAGTAGATGTTTTGGTCTGTGGTGGTGTAAATGTAACAAATGAGCAACAGAAAAAAGATTCAGGTAGGAGAAACTGCATAAGGAAGTATGAGACACATACGTCACAACTGACCCAAATACACACACACCCACACAAGTGACTTTTGTGCTCTATAGAGTACCTGCAAAACAGATAGGCATGAGGCCTGATAGAGGAAATAAAGATGCTCTGCGTTGATTGGAGGAGACATGATGGGCGTACTTGGATCATTGGCCCAAGGCTAAGATTCATGCAGGATTGAGTAGCATGCAGACGCAAGAGTGGAAGAAGAAAGTGGACAGCCGCAGAAATAATGTGTGAGAAAAGGAGGAGAAAAAAGATTTAGAAAAACATAAAAACGGACAGTAGGAAATTCATATGTTAGTATGTTCAAGTGATGGTGGAAATAATAAGTTAAGGACAAACTAGTTCACAGATAAATGCACGATAGGTTTGAACAGCAGAGGAGTGTGCAGCACCTGTAGCTGCTGGGCTCCAGTCTGAGCCTGTGGTAGAGCAGAGCTGCTCTCTGGCTGCTGCTGCTGCTGCTGTTGTTGTTGTTGTTGTTGCTGCTGCTGCTGCTGTTGTTGTTGTTGTTGTTGTTGTTGTTGTTGTTGTTGTTGCTGCTGCTGCTGCTGTTGTTGTTGTTGTTGTTGCTGCTGCTGCTGCTGCTGTTGCTGTTGTTGCTGCTGCTGTTGTTGTTGTTGTTGTTGTTGTTGTTGGGGGGCAGATGACTGAGATGATGGGGGGATCATCACTTGCTGGGTGGGAATCTATAAGAATAGAAATGATAAAGATTGAGTGGTAGAAACAAGAATAAAAACAGACACATTTTTACAGTGGCAATGAGGGTAAAGCCTGCAAATCGGATTTCTTTCTCATCTAAATCT